ACGTGTGTGTGTGTGTGTATATGAAGGAATAAGAGACAGCGAGTTGATGTCTTCTCAAGGAAACATACATTATGAATATCAGTAATCAAATAGTAATGGACATAGAGTAATGTGAGTGTGTGCACATGAAATTTCGGCCCACACATTCTGTTGACACATATCCCTGATCTTTGGAGCCTGAAATACAGTAGAGCAGAACACAGGCAGACCTGAGCAGCTGGAGGAAAAGAGAGAGAGAAAACAGATCAGCTGCTGTATTATTCTTTGACCTACTTAGAAGAATTCATCATAGATTTCTTTCCGGGCTTTTTTTTAGTAATTGGTTACATACAATCATATAATAAAGCGATTAATATATACGGCTCTCTTGTGCTCAAGGTTCACTTGGATGGTAGTAGAATGGAAAGATTTTTTATTAGCTTCTATGTAGTTTTTTTTTCATGTAATTTTCTTCATAATTTTTATAAAAATCAAATGAAATGGCACGTTTGTGTAAAGAACATTTCTAGTGATCGCCTTTGGTTTATTTCAAAGATGTTGACATTTTAGTGTTTAGAAACTATGGCAGGTAAAGTTTCGTCCCATATCTGATAAATCAGTGCTTTGCTTGTCTGTGTCTATAAACGGGGATGACTTTCGCTTTGGCAGTGGCATAAAGTAATCTCCTTTTTGATGTGACCACATCATGAATGGATTCAGCAGATTAAACTAAAAAGGCAATAATTCAAAAATTATTAACATCTTTTAACAGAAAATGCTATAAATGATTTGATAAAAATCAAAGCAGTGGTCATTACAAAGTGCTTATTTAGAGAAGCAGAAAACTGCCTGCTAAGATTAAGAGACCAATTGCCCTTCCGATAATAGCATGAAGCTGTAAGCCATTAAATGACACTTTGAAGTAACTGAGAATAAAATCAGGCCCTAATTACTTGACAGGAGAAGGAAAGAACCAGCAGATCACATATAATTACTCACCTTGTGCACTGTGCTTAGTTTGAGTAACAACATCCTGTCAGGGATCCAGGACCTGATATCCTGAGGATTTACAGGAGCTAAAATGCTTTTCTTATTTATGCTGAACCCCCCCCCCCCCCATTTATATTGTTAAAAAGTATACTGTTTAAATGTTATATTTAATTTCTTTATGGTATTCACAGATAGTATATCACATTTACAAGTTTACAAAGACACACATATTACATCTGTGTTATTTTAGTGTTATTATAGTATTTATTAATAATTTGAATTAGCTTTTAATTTCATATTTACAGTTTTAATTTTATTTTAAGTTTTAATAAATGTGTTATATGTAGTTGCCATTTTATTTCAGTTTTAGTCATTTTAGTACTTCAGCTTAAACATATTTTATTCAGTTTTTCATCTAATATATATTTTTCAGATTTATTTAGCTCAAATAAACTGTAATAGTTTTAGTTATAATAATAAATTAAATGTATATATATATTGTAATTTTACATTGCTTAAATATTATATTTAAATATTATATTTTATAATGCTTAAATATTATAGCTATTACGAAGCTGATTTTAGAAATATTTAGAAAATTACTACTAAATAATTTTTATTATTTTATAATGTTACATTTATTTAAAATTCTAAAAAATAAAAAATTATATCTGACTAAAGACACCACTTACCTTCAGTGATAATGCAGGATTGACGCCACATTCTCGTATCTGACAGAGCCTAGTTTCACTGATGAGCCGACACTCAGGATTACTATTAGTTACACGGCTGGACACGCCCATTCCGCAGGTGGCTGAGCACGGGGACCAATCAGTGACCTGCAGTAAGCAGGTGGGTGGAAGGATGGGGTGGGACTTAGAGGATGAAATCCACTCTAAGAAAAAAAAAGAATATGGTGAATAAGCTTGTAATTCCTAAACTATGAGGAACATATCAAATCCATATAAATATAGTCAGTGTTAATAACCATGATTCATTTTTTTCTGTGCGCAAAAGTTAGAAAACACTGCTGTACACCATACTTTTTAATAGAAATGTATTGTTTATGTCATAACATTATTCCAAAACCTAATGAGCGGTTTTGGAATAATGTTATAGGCACACCGTCAATATGAAGGCCGTAGTATACAACATTAATACAACATTTTTAAAAAATTTTTTATCCAGGGTGGTTTGAACATAAATGTGTGTTGGCAGTGTGTGTACACGTTTACCCTATAATGATAAAAATCCACCCAGTGGTTTTTATTTAATCCCTAAAAATAATATCCCCTTTTTCAAATCAGCCCATTCTCAGCTTCTTGTCTGTGTGACGTCACACGGACGAAGGCCGCTCCCACGATAGTTGATTGACACGGCCGGCTTACCTTAGACCCGCCCTGAGTGAGCTGTAACAGTCCGATCGCCATTGTTTCGATGGCGGAACAGGGACGTAAACAAGAATGTCTCCATAGCGATTGAGGTGTTTTGTTGTTGGATGTAATAATGAACATAGCAGTCATCATTTACTCCCACCATCAGAGTCGCTGAAGATGCAGTGGATTAATTTTGTTTGCGAAGGGAATGCACCTCCTGATCTACCTAAATGTGTCTATGTAGGCCTGTCACGATAACAACTTTTTGTTGTGCGATATATTGCCCCAGAAATAATTGCGATAAGCGATATTATTGTCATTTTAAAGACCATTTTATGCCACTGAATATATAATCATAATCTAACAGCATAATAATGCAAGAAGGCCTACACACTTCCAAATCAAAACAAACTTTAAATTTTTAAGAATATTTAGATCATGGAGATTAAGTATCAAAATATTAGATACCTTAAACCTGAATAAATAGTAAATATATATTTTTTAACAAAAAGTGCAAAGTCACGTAGTAGAAAAAAAGAAAAATGCACAAAGAACTTGTATGGAGATTTTTTTCCCTGACCTTCTTTTCTCTGTAAATTAAGGGTGCACACTATTGCTGAAAAACACAATCACTACTCAGCAGTCAGATGTCTGTATGCACAAAGGCACAGATCCCTAAACAAGGCCATATCTGCAGATGAAACATTTTTTGTAAAAGCATTTTTTAAATTTGAACTAGCACCTCATGTCTACACGTTATGTGCGAGAAGCTGCAAAAGACACAGGCGCAAGTGGAATGCACAAAACATGGTGACATTTTTTAAGTAAATATAATGTGCAATATATTGCGTCACCAAAAAATATTGAGGTCATGTACATATATTGCGCGATAAGTCGATATATTGATTATTGCGACAGGCCTATGTCTATGTTCGCGCGAATCATTCGTGATCCAGCTTCACCTACAGAAGAAGTGAGTATAAGGTTTTTTTTATGAATCTTTGCAACCACCTTTACTAATAACGTGCTAGTTAGCAAGTTTCACGGCTAAATGCAACTAAAGTAAACAGTCTCTCAGAGCACGGCTCCTCATCCCACAGAAGAGAGGGGCAGGGGGAGCAGAGCTCATTAGCATTTAAAGCAACATGCAACAAAACGAGCTGATGTCTTGCAGAGCTGATTTTGACCAGGTAAATAGGGTGTTGTTTTACACTACCATTGAGAATTTTTTTTTTTCATTTTTCCTTGACAGAACAGTTAGAGATATGATAGGAAGTGAGTGGGAGAGAGAGATGGGGGGTGGGAACGGGAATGGTCCATGAAGTGGGATTTGATCTCGGGACACCCGAAGAGCAACTGCGCCATATTGAGAAAATGCACCATTGAGAATTTTTTACCAAAGTATGGTGTAGACTTTTCATTAAGACCCTAAAATCACATCAACTTGTGGAAAATGGGCATCCGATGACCCCTTTAAAGATAAAAATGTATTATATTTAACTGTTTTATTATACGTTTACCAAATGTGTTACACCAGTGGTTCCCAACACTGCATGTTTTTCATGTCTCCTTAATCAAACACACCTGATTCAGATCATCAGCTCATTAGTAGAGACTCCAAGACCTGAAATTGGTGTGTCAGAGAAAGGAGACATGCAAAATGTGCAGTGTTGGGGTGCCTCCAGGACCAGGGTTGGGAACCACTGTGTTACACTTTCATTTGTATTTTGTTTTGTTTTGCCAAGCACAGGCAAAATAAAATGATTTTATATTATTTAAAATATACGTTACATTAGAAAAAGTCTTCTTCTTTTAAAAACATCAAAAACATCTTATTGACCCTAAACTTTTGAACAGTAGTGTATGTTAATTGTATATTACCACCACTTCCTCACACACCAGTCATGTTTCTTTAGACGTTTGGATGGTGTGAAAGTTGCTGTGAAAGGCTAGTGTGTTTTGACCTTTTCATATTCACTGTTACACTAGTTAAGATGTTATTAAACAATACATTAATCTGTAATGTTTCATAGAGCACCCATGGATAGTTTCCAATTGTAAAGCACACAAAGTGTAACAGCTAACTTCAACTCATTAATTATTTGGCTGTAAAAGGCATGAGAAGCAAAGGTTCGCCATGAATGAAAATGAGAACAGAGTCCAGCATGCTTGTTCAATGTTCTGGAACAAGATGAGATTGTTAACGTCCATGCGGCAAGTCAATGTCTCCATATGAGATGCAAAAAAGCAACACTATGACAGTATTGTAATTCACTTTACTTACATTCTCTATATCACACTCAAATTAACATTCCAATATTTCTTGCTCACTTGGTGAAATATTTGGAAATCTCATTGTGGCAAGAGCTGGAACCTCATTACCATATAAATGTGTTCCAAGCACTCTGGTTTCATTCGGAAGACATGTCTGCTACAGGTTCAGGAGCTGTTTGCTTTGCAGATCTTTCAGGATTTTGTTTGACCTTTGTAAAGAGGAGGAGTAAATGGAAAGGCACAGGCCAGGCTTTAAATACATGATCCAAACAGGAAGTTTGGCAGAAATCCCTTCACCTCTCATCTCTTCTGATTTTCCAGGTGCTTTTTTACTGTCATTCTCATCATTCTCTATTTCTGGTCTTCCTTCTGTCTTGTCAGATATGAGGGGTCCTGCAGGCCACTGGATGTCATGTGGTCACCCGTGTGCTGAACGTGCCGAGTGGAACCCTAAATTCTGTGTGGTCACCGACTATCAAATGCTGCTGCTGGACAAAGAGGAGGTATTATACAATGACACAGAAAGAGCCTTTTCTCATGCATCCCACATGCCCTTACAGTTTTTCTTAACTGGCTATGGTATTTAAATCCATTTCAGTTGATATGATAGTGCTAAATATAGGTGTAAACAGGGTTCAGTTGGGTCATTGAAACCAAATTAGGCTGTGGTTAGAAATGCATGAAATCACATTGCGTATGTCATATATTTATTGCATATATTTATCACATATCGCATATTTACTAACATAGTGATTTTTGTCAAATATTTAGCTGTAAATGTCTTGTTTGTGCTAAGATTTAACTGAAAAGTATATTTGGGAGTAACAGTGGCTATTTATTTGTACTTTTTTGCGCTTAATAAAAATGAAATGATTCACTTTTTTTCTTTTTGCTTTAAGGAGTCAGCAAAATCTTGTGTTTTGTGACTTGAATACTTATTGTAACTGGCCGCAAACTTATATGACTTAATATAAAAAAAATATATTTTTATATGATATATCTATATTATATTATTATTATATGAATATATCTTTATATACACTACCATTAAAAAATTTGGGATCAGTAAGATTTTTTAAAAATAAATTAATACTCTTATTTAGCATTAAATTAATCAAAAGTGACAGTAAAGATATTTATAATGTTTAAAAATATTTCTATTTTAAATGAATGCTGTTATTTTGAACATTTTATTTAAAGAATCCAGAAAAAATTAAGCAGCACAGCTGTTTTCAACATTGATAATGATATTAAATCTTCATTGAGCACAAAATCACCATATTAGACTGATTTCTGAAAGATCATGTGACACAGTGACTGGAGTAATGGCTGCTGAAAATTCAGCTTTTCCATCACAGGAATAAATTACACGTTTCTCTTTGCTTTTTTGCACAGTAACAAATACTAAAAAGAAAAACCAAAAATCCAGTGTTTAGAAAAAAGAAGGGAAGAGGCAGAAGGGCAAAGTATTTTGTGCTGGTTGTGACTGAACTAGTCCAAGCACATGAGAGCGAATAGCGTGTTAGCAGTGTGTAGTTTGTCATTGTGACGTGCAGAAGTGCGGTACATCAGCAGGCTCCCTGAGCTCACTTTTTGGTCTGGCAGCCAAGACACACGGCGTTCCACAGGGACAATCAATAGATGGCCCACACTTGCAAAGAATATATGCTGTGTACTGTGGTCGATAAAGCATTTTCCTCTCGCCCATAGCTCACGCTGTATGTCGAATCCTCTGTTATCAGCCAAAGAGCAGCGCTGTAATAAATCTCCACTCCTCTATTACTGGCCAGGCAGAGCAGTAGTGAATGATTCTCTGCTGGAGGCGGAGCAAAACTCCTGGCAATACCAGATCTTTAATGCTTAGAGAAATTTGTTTATGTACTTACTGTACTTATAGGAGTACAGTACTTTTTTCCCCCATTCATTTATTTATAAAATCATCCTGGTCTACATGAGCCCAACTAACGTACACTTGCCTAGAGCTCTCTTTATTTTTTATTACTATGCATTTTAGCCAATATTTAAAGTAGCATGATAAAGGTGCCTTTGATAAGTAAAGTAAATTAAGTAATAAACAGTGTTGTCTTTATCCATAAATGAAAATTACTCTTGTGCTGTAAAAATGTATGTTCAGACACATCAATTTTATTCATATAAAGTTAAATGTTGTCTTAATTCGGTTTACACTGTGAGGGGAAGAAGTAACCCAGATTTGAAGTTTTTATACAAGAGGTCAAAATATGATGCAGGTAAATATTTAGGTATTGTGTGTGTACTTTTTTGTAAACAAATTTGTAGACATAGTTAAATCTGACAATCTTCTTTTGGGAGTGTTCTCATTTGTAGAAACTGTTTAAAATAAAGCCTTATTTGCAATTTTGTAATTGTAAAAGTGCAGAAATTTTCTATTAGGGTAATAGTATTTATACTGTAACTAGGCAAGGCAAGTTTATTTATATAGCACATTTCATACACAATGGTAATTCAAAGTGCTTTACATAAAAGGAAGTAAAATAATAATAAAAAAAAATCACAACAATGTAGCAAATTAGCTCAAAAGGGAAATGTATATAAATAATTACAATTAATTATAATTAATTACAATTATTTACCTCCGCTGCCAGTAGTAACTGTAGCAGAATTAATATTACAATCAACCAATCTGTTCGTCCAGCAAACATTCAGTATAATTTCATATCAACTCTAAGAAAGATATTTTTGTGGACACAGAAAATAACTTTCTTACAGTAATGCATTAGAGCATGTAACTATAGATCAGATCATAAAAGGGACACTATATACAAGTGGTGACAGAGCCAGAAACTCGTGTAATTTGTGCACAAAAGTTTTATTAACTAAACACTAACACATAACTAATCTAGACAAACAAACATACAAATCACTCATTCATGGGGAGGTTGGAAGTGGATGACTGAAACAGCGCTGCTTATACTTGCTTAGAATAATTGGACTATATTTAAATCCCTTGTATCCATTTGAGCGCTCAGTCGTAACCTTCCAATCACCACCGAAGTGTTTTATTTATATGAACATAGCTTGATCTCAGCCAGTTCATTTCACCCTAATTTCTCATGCTCATATGCTCACATTACTCAGCGTGAGCACATATTCAAGCGGATCAGAAATTATGAATCTCTAATAAGTGGCAGTCCAGCAGGGGAAGCATACACACTGCAGAAATACTTCGAATGACTGTCATTGATATTACATTCTTATATGTATAGAAGCCATTAGGAGCGATAAACGCGTGCTTCTGATGCAGCTGAAGTCAACCGCACACTCACACAGCCAATGAAACATCAACCTTAGAAATAAACAACCGTAACATTGAGGTTATGCCGCTGAATACAGCGAGCCCCAGTTGAAACGCATACACGAGAATGCGTGTTTCATTTAAACTTGTTCTCATGGCCTTAACTATCGGCGTGTCCTCAGAGCGATTACATGCTCTAGACTACGTGTTGCTCCAGCTGTATGAACACAGATGCGTAAATGCTGCTGCAAATATGCTTTTTTCAATTAGCAGACCAGGTAATATACACAGCGATATGGATTAAAACAGCATTCACTTATCTTAGATGTGGATTTCAGATGTTCTGAAACACGCTGCAACAGTTTGATTTGGGGGCAGCGATGCTTAATTTGCTCCGGAGCAAGCTGAAAAGCTGCTGAATAATACTGAATACAGCTTATATAGAAATGCCGCGATAGGTGTCATTTTCCTATAGGTAGATGTGATCAGCTGAGAATCAGCTGATGCAAGCTTGACTCACGTGACCTGCCAGAACTAACGCTAAAGCTTAATTTATGGAAAATGAGTCAGTTAACCACCTGAGTGAAACCATCAGTGCCTACAGGGTCTATAGCTTATCCTAAACCTCTTGTGATTGTTTGTTAATCTAATGAATAAGTGATTTGTTAAATCTAATGAACAGTTGTGTGTCTGATTGGTCCAAAAGCTACATATTTCCACCCTTTTCGAGCGTTGTTGTCTCCTGTAGACAACAGCGAACAACGGAAAATATGCAGGGAAATCAGACACGCATCTGGCACGCAAGGCTTGAAGGTCATGGTGGCTCTCTGGCTGTTGGTGCCTCCAGGAGTGGTTGTGGTGCCGTGGTGATGTAGGCTGGTGTCGAGGCAGTCATCCTGAAGTGAGTTGGTCTGGGTTAGATGGTTGTTTAAGGTGTTGTTAGCCAGTAGGCTATCCGTGATATCTGTTGTGTGGTATACCTGCACTCTCACCAGTGAGAGTCCAACCCGGCTGTTCCACACCACAGATATCATGGATATCACGGTTTTAAGGGATGCTTCTCCCTTGGAGGGGTCTGATGCTGTGTTGCGTCAGGCAAGGAGTCAGAAGTTTGTCCTTCCCAGTACTCCTCAGTTGAGTTTTGTTCAAGGAGCTTTTTTGCTAGTGTCAGCAGCTCCTGTAACTCAGAAGTAGGCGTGTCCAGCTGTCCTTGTGCAGCCTCCGTTTGGCACCTGTGGGAAGGGTGTGGAGGAGGATGTTGTGGTGGACTGCTGTTGGACATACCTTGGTGTTCGCAGGGTAAGGACGGCCTTTTCCATGGCCTCTGCCAGTGGTTGGTCTGGAACCTGGGTTTGTTGCCATGGTGACTGCTCTGTCCTCTGCTGGCTAGTGGCTCACTGTAGAAGGTCCTTGCATTGTGGCAATGCTGGCTGCCTTCTGGTGCCCGCTTTGAATTCTGGGTTGTGAAGTTCAGAATCGGTGGAGTCTTGCAAACACGTTTGGTGGAGGCCTTGTGCTTGTTAAAGGCCTTCTGTGTCAGGTCACGCAGTTGTTGAAACGGCATTGTGTGGCAGGCCATAATGCCTAAATGGTGACTTACAATAGGATGGAGGTTTCGGAGGAAAAGGCTCTTGAAGCTGGTGTCCTCCTCCATCCCAGGTTCAATGGGACCTCCTAAGTAAGCTCGTCGAAGTCTGTGGTAGTAAGCATGGGGAGTTTAATGACACCCTGTTTGGTGTCAAGGGCAGCGATCAGTCCGGTGTCAGACTCTGGGTCTGAGAATTCTCTTATGATGGCTTGTTTAAGCCGCTGGTAGCCTGACTGGATGTGTCCTGGCTGTCGAGCCAGGAACTGTCGCACCTCTTGTCTAGAAGTGATCCAGAGCAGATAGATTCTATCCTGGTGGTTCACACTGGTCCAAGACTGCAGGTGAATGTCAATGTCTCGCAGGTAGGCGTGGATGTCATGGTCTCCTGCAAGTTCTGGTGTGAATGCAGGGACGTGTCTGTCCATTCGGTTGAGGTCTTTGAGTGTCACTCTATGTGTCATTTCAGAGTTTTTCTGAATTGATCCTTTTCCTTCTGCGGCTGCAGAGGTTTCTGGGAAACTGACTTGTGAAGTGTCAAGCAGAAGGCTTTGGCTCTCCCTTTTGTATCTGTGTACAGGGGTGAGGGGTTTTTCACTGCTGACTGTGTGACGTGCAGCAGGGTGACTTTTACTTGACTTGAG